GGAACAATAACGGAGCAGCTCCAGTCGGTTGGGACAGCCTCCTGCTCCCACAGTTTCACTAGTAATTCATGTAAAGCATCAACAAGAGCAGAGTCTCCGAATTTGAAGAGGCCCGGAGGAAGACCATCTGGTGCCGCGGCTTTGTTCAACTTTAAAAGTCCGATCTTACGTTCGACTTCTGAGCAAGAGGGTGGATTCAAAGGGACAGCCCACGGAGCAGGGCGATCACTGACCAGCCAATCGAACAATTCTAGCCGACTAAATTGCTTTTCAAAATGCTCAGCCCAACGCTCCAAAGCTTTTGACAAATTGTGGATAAGCTGTCCACTGTTGTCACGTATGGTTTCACTAACACCAGGTCTCCTACTGCCCGTTTCCCGTATCAGACGGAATAACTTACGATGATTACCAACGGCAGCGGCTGCTTCCATCTCAGAGGCACGATGAGATCACCAAGTTTCGCGGTCCTTCTTTAGGCTAGCACGTAGTTTTGCCCTGAGATTTTTGCGAGTCTCATTGTATTCGCTTCCAGCCGGAATACGTCGGCGAGCATCCATAAGTTCCAGAGACTGTGTAGAGACCCAACGTCCAGTTTGGTAATTTGCTTTGCCACATGAAGACATGCCTGCTAACAGCAACGCTTGACGAATATGCGACCAGTGATCTTCAACGGTGTTTAGTGGGCGCTTACTCAGCCCAGATGTCAGCGCACTTTGGTACACATTCAGAACATCTGGCTTCGCCAGCTGGCTGGTGTCAATCCGTTCACATCGACGTTGCGGACGTCCACCGAAACGCACCAGATGTCGGCACAGACAAGTGCGTGGTCAGAATCCACGCTCGTGCTCCAAATCGAGCGACAGTTTTGGACACAGCCTCTCCAGCGGTAACTGATCGTGATATGATCGATCTGCGTCCATGGCTGGCCCGAGGCTGGTGGCCGCCAAGCCACACTTCTGCGGGTGCTGTGTCGAAAGTTAGTGCTCGCGAGAAAGAGGCGAGCATCTTCACACAGCTGTAGCAATCGCTCACCATTATCATTACGGGAGCCTACACCATGTTCGCCGGCCAGATGAAGCTCATCAGAGGACAATTTTCCGACTTGGGCATTTAGGTCGCCAGCCAACACCACAGTATCCCTGCTTCTTCTGTAACAAAGGAGATCTTGAAGTTGATGATAGAAATCACTTTTCACCGAATCAATGTTACAGTTTGTAGGGGCGTAGGCCGCAATGACAAACAGACACCGTTTGTTCCCGCGCGAGTTCGTGGCATGGAACGAACCAGCTAAGCTAACGGCGCACATCTGACTGTTGACTGAGATCCAATCGATCAGGGCAGCTTCAGTCCAGGGACTCAAAACAATGTCGACGCCAGCTTGACCTACAGTTGGAGCTGCATCATCGCCAGACAGGCACAATGAGAATGTGCCTCCAGTGTCACATGTAGGGGATCGTAGGGTAAGCAATGTGCGCACGTTGAGGCATGCCGATCTTAGTGAAACGCGAAAACCCCAAAGGGAAGCTGATGAACTGACGTTGTCCGCTTGGTTGAACATGGGTTTGTGGACTGGATTGGAACGACGCCCTGCGACTGTGTGTGAGTTGAAACTAGAGGACAAGCGGCTATTGAAACAAGGTGAGGGAGGGCCAAGAATTGGCGGATTGAAAATGGGGGGATAAAATTAAAGTTGGAGCGAGACGATAAGGATGAAAAAGCGCAAGAAGTGGGATAATAAGACGGGAAGGGATGAGCAGTACATCCAAACCCCTATCCACCCTGCTCGATGCAGTAGATAGGGCACCGTTGATTATCCTCTGCGAAGGCCAGAGCATTAAGAAATTGTTAGGAGAAAGGTTTATTGTATAGTGTGGGCAGAATACTGTCAGGTTGCCCAAGCCTAGACAGGAGAACGATTAGGGTTCTCAACCAAACGCGGTGAGCGTTTGAAACTTCTTGGATGATTCCACGGGTTCTCTTTTATCTATGGCTCGAAAAACAGTTACCAAAGAAATCGTGTTGTCCCACACCATCGAACATTCCTCTATCAACACAGTTTCAATGTTCTTAATGGAAGGAATATGACAGTCAGTCAAGACGATAAACGAAATGTCTGGTGGAATTTAAAGATCTTGGCATCAGTGGCTAAAGGAAGTAATACTGTTTGGTGCATTGAAGATCCCTCAAACCGAGAGGTTTATGACATGAGTACTTCAAGGCTAACAAACTGTCTATACCAGAATGAGATCAGGGTGTTGCTAATTACGTGTTGTTTGTGCGCCAGGAGTGTGGATGGAAGAAGAGTAGGGGTTGCCAAGCGATGATTTGGTCAAGAGGAACGAAGGCCTTCACTTCGAAGTGGGCCTCGGTTGGAGCCTCTCAGGCTCCCTGGTTAGAGACCGAAGGACGATGAACACGTTTGGCTGGAAACACTTTTGACATGGCTAGGAGTTGATCTCAATGGAGTTTGTGTTGTGAGTTTCTTTGTCCCTCCAACCACAATCTCAATTTTAAGGCATAATATAACTTTTTTCTTGTGGCACAATGGACGACTGTCAGCTCTCCGGAACGATGTCCATCCGTTACTGGTGTCTCTGTTGCATGTTCTTTTCTTTTCTTTTGTATTGCAGCACAATAGCTGAGGCGTTTTCTACCTGTAACTAACGTGTGTAATGGTTATGATGATTTGTTTTAAGAATCGATTAGTTCTACTTTCATGTACACGGCAGTGATATATGTTTATCGCATTTGAGGAATCTCAACCATCCAGCCAGTTCTAAATCGTTGTTTCCTTCAGCCGGATTTTTGTATGCCTATTATGGATTAGATGCAGTTTGTCAGCGCGCGTTGCGGCACTGGGTATTCGACCAGGTCCCAGTGAGTGAACCGGCATTCACGTAACGGTCGGATTGTTGTAATTACCGTATTTTGGCTTGTAGAGCGTCCTTTGGCTTGGTGAACGAGTAGCGAACCGGCCGCCGCGTTGAACATATCGTGCTGACTGGAAACTAGAGGATACTTGGCACGATGTGATGAATGCGGTATCTTGCGGGGAATCTTTCTCGAAGCTAGTATATTTCTGTTGGAGTGCTTGGAATTTGGAGAAGTTGTGCAATCTACCGCCATACCAGTAATACGACATGAGCCCCGATGACCTTTGTCTAACTGGAGAGGTTACTAGCATATGACCCATCAAAAAATCAGTAGTACGCCAGTACGCAGTAACGAGGCTATGCTGCCGCGCAACCACTTATGGTTGCGCGTGGGCTAAGGGCACAGTGAGGGTCGCCCGGTCCCCTACGCAGTCTCGAACCCGTGCCCTCGGATTACAAGGAAGGCTTGTGGTCCTTTAGGCTACGGGCCAAGCACGAACTTTGCTCCAGGCAACCCCTATGCAATTATACTGTGCTTGTTTGTGGATCACCGAGCCATCCTCCTTGATTTGTTTGCGTGGGTAGTGGCAAGCAAGTAGGAAACTTCCATTGGCTTCGCTAGTTCCAGACTAGAACAGATCACGCCTATAACGAACTGTTCCGATCGGTATTGGTTTGTTGCAAAGTTCACTGATGTATTCGACAAGTCTAATCGGGTGTCCCTTTTCTGTCAGGTAACTGTGATCGTTTTAAGATCATTGGAATAAGTTGACATTGCTAAATATTTAATTAAGGAAGATTGTGAGCCGTACCGTTAAAGTTGGTTCAGTGCTACGTGTTCAAGGTTAAGGTTTGGGTGATTTATTTACATAAGTCGGTTAATGGGATAAGGGTCAGTTCCAGCTGTCGGGTGTTTGGACCTGCCACCTCAGGGAGAACCACTGTGAGTACAACAGACTGATGTCGAGATGATCGGGCGTACCATTGTAAGTCTTGTGCTTCTCCATAGCGGATGGAGCAGGTTAGGGTGAACCAGAGCACATCGAAACCCAGATGAAATTTCTGTTCGAAATTTGATCTGGAATGTGGAAGAAGCCCGAATGCCTTATGTTGTGATAAGTTCGTCTTGCTTAATGATCCCCTCACTGTGATTCCTACTATCATACACCCAAGGGTTTTCCTTCGCCCAATCCAAAGTTCGTATGCTCTGGCTATCAATCCAGATAGTGTTGATTCAGTGCCGGTTTTCTTGCTCTCGTTGATTCCGGTGGAAACGCATAAGCTCAAGGCTTCTAAGCGGTTTGTCGCTTACACTAGCCACCAATGGGTCAATGAGCAAGAAGCCAGTTGTCTAGAACCCATAGCCATGAGATCAAGCACAGTTAACTATTGTCCCAGCGGTTCCGGACGCAATCGTCCGATTGTGACAGCCGCAAGTATGGTTAACAGATACTGTTCTAAATCTATATGGTTTGGCTTCGCTACGACTGCAACGATCCAAGTTAAAAATGGACATTGCGAACATGACAGAAAGTCATCAACGACTGGACTACGTTCACCGAATGGTAAACTAATAGGAAAATAACAACAGCAGGTATAATTCCAGTGTGGTATGACTGGCCTAAAGGAAACTGTTCCGAGTACGGAGCGTAAAAGAAATCCTATCTGACAATATAAACGTGGCTTTACGGGGGCCAGTGTTGCTTCCGTCACTAATTTTGTTCCAACAAGACTTTAGATCAGATGACGGGATGAAACAGTTAAATGTTGCTCAAGTGGAGTATGTCATAGGAAAAACATAATCACGTGGTAAAATAATACTTGCACACAAATAACACACTGGCGAGTACAACGGGCCCGACAAGTTAAAATTGTGTAATTTGCCGTGAGTAGGCCATAAGAAGAACGAGTCCCGGTGAGGCTAGGGTTACCAATCAGCGACATCCGGGTAGAATTCAGTCGGTGATGACCCAGGGACAAGCGGATTGTCAGACGCATAACATTTTCAAACATAGATGAATTAGACATACTGGAAAAATATCATGTCATGCAAGAGTGTAAGTCATTCTTGCCTAAATGGATAAGTGTTCGCAAATACATACAGCATCGTAAGAGAGAAAAACCAACTCGAGTAATGGTCTCCAGCGCTCGCCGATGGACTGTAGCTGCAGCCGCCAACCCACTCAGGGCAAACAATATGGAGCGAAATGTGGCAGCTACAACGTGACCGCCAATGATACCGCTGTAGACATAGAGGTAAAATGAATTCGATGTCGTAGATTCCGCTGGTGTCAGATTCGCCCATGGAGAGAAACATGGAGCCACGAGTGAATGAACCACGCTTGACAAAACCAGAGGATCCAGTTGAACCATGGTGATGTTGGAGAAGCTCATTTTTAGTGAACGAGAGGGAGATGTCAGTTGAACCCACCGTGCCAGCCACCAGTCAGCAGCATTACGGCTACCTACGGATTGAGGAGAGAGAGAACAAAGTGCAGTTCGAAGAAACAACACAGGTATAGTCTTGCTTGTCTAACTAACAAAAGCGTACGACCGATGCTGTTCACTAAGCGGGAATGTTTTAGCATTTCCGCCAGATATGCAAGCTCCGGTGTTGTACGTGGACGTGAAATCCATTTCAAAGCACTTGAAAACACCAGTTAGTTACACGTTACGCATCAGATTGGATGTGAATTGACCGGAGCATGATATGGAACTCATGCGCTTAAGCAATAAGATAGATGTGTGACCAAATCAAAAACAAAGATTACGTAGCAATGGTGAGTACATGAGTAGATGTGACAGCATCATAAAAGTTGAGTGGGGGTAACGTCTTCCGTGCAGCATTACATATTATCTCAGCTGGTGGCCGAGTAGGTAATGCGTCCAGGGTGTCATTCACAATTCCCCTGCCCGATCATGAGTAGGTAAGGGCGACCTAGAGTATCTATAGTCCGCGCGTGGCCGTTACTGGTTGTATGGCAGGCACGCGTCGATAAGCAGTACCAGCGTACCAATGATGTGCTGAACGCACCGCCGAATATCAGTTGGTCGCACGCAATCTACCATCACTGGGGATGGATTCAATACCTAGAAGATTTACATACAGGGAAGAAATACTCTGAACTCATGTATGGCGTGTGGGCGATGTCATCCCGACACACCCAAATGGCCCATAGGCTTTTAGAGCCAGTCTTTCAATCGCAGATGATATCCGTGCCGGCAAAGAGGGCAGGAGTCTCGGATGCAGTAACTGTTTTCAACCGTAGTATCCGTTTACAGCAAGCAGGGACAGTGTATCCTGAACCAAAAGCAACAAGATCAGGAACGAAACTGGCAACACAGACCAACAATGTATACCGAACTACCTCCGCGTGGTTCCAGCTGGGTGGTTCGAGATATACTCGTTCTAGCAAAATGTTCGACGGCAGTGTTCCAGGACGTGGTGGATTTTCGCCTGGCAAGCGTTCTCCATACAAAAATGCCACAAATGTCCGTTTAACAACACTGTGACATAGTGGATGTGACTCACCATTAGATAAAGCCACTGCCTGTTGCTTCGCCTAGCCGAAGTCATCAGCTGCAAATTGAATTGCTGGGAGTATTGGGTCCCTGTTTGACAGCCCGTCAAACGAAAGGCGTATGAACAGGGCGATCGGTCACCGGCTCCCAATGGGCGCGCTTCAATGAATTCGCCCCGTTGCCTTGCGTGTCTGGTCTTTATAACTGAAGGCTCTGGGTCGGGTCCCCTATGTAAACGCCCTCTCTCAGCCTTCTCAATCAGGAAGTTGTATACCCACAAAACACATGAAATTATGAATCTGCAACTCTGTTCACGTTCCTCGCTCTCTTCGTTTGAGGTGATAGTGGTTGAGCATGTTAAACTTTACCCTATTCCTACGGTTTCCAGGGGAAGAATACAAACCACAATGTCTCAATCTGTCTGTCAAACTTCCAACAGAAATTATGTTTTGGGGTTGTATGGCCGCCAATGAAGTCGAAAGGCTCGATATAATTGATGGAATGATCAATGCTCGTAAATGTGTGGAGGCCTCCAAAACTGCAGTTAACATTGGTTCAGAAGCTATTCAAGAAAGAGTACTTAACGAGGATGACAATGCGCCATGCCGTGGTGCAAAGACAGTCACAGAATGGATAAAAAGAGGATTAATGAAAACGCTCGAATAGCCAGCTTAGTCCCGAGATCTAAATCGTAATTGAAAATTCGTAATACAGCTTATGACTAGAAATATCAAAGAAGCAGCTAGCGACCAAATGAGAACGTGTTGAGTCCCTTATTGATGCTTGGATCCGTATCTTCACTAGCGAACAAATCCAAAAGCTGGCGCATTCAACGCCTTGGGGATGTAAAACAGTTAAGAGGAATAAAGGCTGGTCAGTCAAGTATTGGCATTTGAAATTCTTCTGCACACTGCCAATTTTTGGGTCGACACAAGTAAAAAGTTATTTGTTAATAATTAACCAGCGCTACGCGGTGTTAAGTGACACCACAGTTAGGAAGCAGTTTTTGGATGGTACCGTTCAGTAAGGACTTAATGAACAAGAGATATGAAACAACGGTTGCGATGCCAAAATTTAAGGGTAGCAATATTAAAAAAATAACTGCAAGGAAAATTGCTAGATTATCTCGCATACTTATAATGTTCGAGTGGTAAATCACAAAAAACGAGTATTTCCCAAGGTGACGCATGACTTTTCACAGCTCTATACTTACGATCTGTCCGATAGTCGAGCAACGCCATACGTTCGGCCGACTAACGATAGTTGCATTCTTGGACATTCAAACCGCGCTTTACATTTTGGACAGTGTGACTCTTTAGGACTGAACACTGGAGAGGGAAGCACTAAGAATTATATCATCACCATCATCATCATACACGTTAGCTGCAGGTGGAAAACACCTTAGCTATTGTACCGCAATACAAAACAAAAGAGAGAAAAAACATTCGACAGAAGTACGCCACCTGAGTCACTAGTAACGGATGGACATCGTTCCGAAGAGCTAACAGCCGGCTATTGTGCCGCAAGAAAAGGGTTATGGTATACCTAAAAAGTGAGATCGTAGTTGGAGGAGAAGGCTAAACGGGAAAGGAGAGACAAAGAAGCTCACAACACAAACGCCATTAAGGTTCGCTTCTAGCGATGTCAAGTGTATCCAGCCAAACATGTTCATAGTCCTTCGGTCAACAACCAGCGAGGGCTTCCATTCCTCTTGACCAAGTCATCGCTTGGCCACCTCTCCTCTTCTTCCATCCACATCCGCGGTGAGCAAACAACGCACGTCGTCGAAGTCGGTGGGCTGGCATGCGTAACGCGTGGCTTAGCTATCGGAGCCTGATGAGTGAAATAACGGTGCTGAGCGGTTCGCTTCTTCTTCCTGCACCATAAACAAGGCGTCGAACACGTTCATCGCTGACGCGGTGTTCCCAGCATATGTGGCCAAACTGCGAAGGCACCGGTGGTCTAACGTAACTAGCCTCCTTATGTCTGTCAATTGAATGGGCCAGATTTCAGCTTATAGTAGAGTCGAAGCTACGGCATCATTGTACACTCTACCCTTCAAGGAGTGATGTCGCGCTGGTGCCCTAGGTGGCGAAGCTTAGCAAAAACGGTTTGTGACCTCGTCTTCAATTCCAACGGCGCTGATACAACTACCTAGGTAGTTGAACTACTGAATGAGTTCTAGCTGATCCCCACCAAGGTTCAGCGCAGGAGGCGGTCCCTACCAATCTTGGAGAAAAGCTTTGCACTTTGAGGATGCAAAGCATATCCCGAAACGGCGGATAACCAGTGCTAATCTGTCAAGAGCCGCTTGGCACACTTGTGGGCTGTCACAGATGAGGGCAATATCGTCAGCATACTCCAAGTCAAGAAGTCGTTCACTTGGGAGGGACGCCACACATTCTAAATCGTGTTCTGTGAACTTGATCTCCATAACATTGTCAATAGCGAAGTTGAATAGGAAAGGTGACAGCGGGCATCCTTGTCTCACATCGCTGGAGATAGTAAAGGACGGCGACAGCTTGCCGTAAGCCCACATTCTGATCAAACTACGTGCGTATAAAGCTCGGCTGATGTTTACATATTGCTCGGGCACATCATTCCTGAGTTGACAGTCACAAAGGACACGTCGATCCACCGATCCACTTTTGATGTTTAGAAGCATGACAACCGTGGGCGTCAATATATATGACGGTGCTACAACAACTGACGCAAAGTGAACATGTGGTCGATGCAGCCACGACTTCGACGAAAGCCGGCTTGCTCCTCACGAATCTGGATTTCACGAGCGCCAGTCAGTCTATGAAGGATTACAGAGGCAAGCAAATCGGAGGCGCCTTCCGAACGCCAGTCTCCATTGAAGATCGGGACAATAACGGTGCGGCTCTAGTCTGCTGGGACAGAGCCATGCTCCCACAGTTTCACAATTAATTCGTGTAGATCATCAACAAGAGCAGAGTCCCCGAATTTGAAGAGGGCCGGAGGAAGACCATCTGGTCCCGCGGCTTTATTCAACTTCAGCAGCCCGACCTCACGTTCGACTTCTGAGCGAGAGGGCAGATCCAAATGGACATTCCTGGGAGAAGAGCAATCACTGGTTGGTGAGGAAGCTAACAATTGCGGCCGAGTAAAACGGTTTTCAAAATGATCAGCCCAACGCTCCAAGCTTTATGACAAATTGTGGATAGGCTGTCCACTCTCGTCATAAACAGTTTCACTAACACCAGGTCTTCTGCTGCCCGTTTCCTGTATCAAACATAATAACTTCCGATGGTTACCAAGCACAGTGCCCACTTCCATTTCTGACACATGATAAGACCACTATGATTCGCGGTCTCTCTTCAGGCTAGCACAGAGTTTTACCCTGGGTTTTTTGGAGTCTCATTGTGTACGCTTCCAGCCGGAATGAGCCGGTGAGCATCGATAAGTTCCAGAGACTACGAAGAGACCCAATGTCTTTGTTGGCTAGTGGATTTACCATATGATTTACCTGCCTCTAGTAAAGTCTGTTGAGCATGAGACCAGTGACTTTCAACTGTATTCAGTGAGCGCTTGCTCAACTCGAACGCCTGCATACTTCGATACGCATACAAAACATCTGGCTTCTCTAGTTGGCTGGTGTCTATGCGCTCACAGAGTCGTCGAAAGTGACCGCCCAAAACGCAACCGCAGATCAGCACATACAAGTGCATGGTCAGTGTTCACACGTGCTCCAAATCGAGCGACAGATCTGGACGCAGCCTCTCCAGTGATAACTGATCGCGATGTGATCGATTTGCATCCATGGCTGGTGGGAGCCATGTCTCCTTCCGACGAGTACTGTGTCGAAAGTTAGTGCTCGCAAGAAATAAGCGAGCGTCTTCACACAAAGGAAGTGACCGCTCATCGTTGTTATTACGGGAGCCTTGAGTGTTCAGATCCCCAGCCAGCACTCCAGTGTCCG